ATACAGATATACATTGCAGTATATTCCATCAATTTGCATATCCATGAGCTAATACAAAATTTTACTTTAAAAGGAATAATTCTTTACTTAAAGCCAAATAGTAATTTTTTGCTTTCATCATATTCTGTTTCACAGTGTCTGGGTTTTGCATTAAAGTCAACATGATTTTGCAATTAGAAAGCACATGAGTTTACCTCATTACATGAATGTAAAAGAAAATGGTTTCCCAAGTATTTTATGGAATTTAATTATTATTTTTAAATAATTTTTTTGAAAGTAACCTACAGTAAACAAAGATTTATTGTTACATAAATAAACAATGAGACAATTACAGCCTCTTTATGGAGACCATATTAGTCATGCACATCTAATGAAGCATTACTAAGCTATCACAGGGAGATAGCCTGATGTGTGTGATTAACAAAATAATACTCATAAATAGCTAATGAACAATGATGGTCCTTTAAAAATTTTGCATATCTTGCTATATTGAGAATTATGGGGTTTGTTGTTTTCTGAGGAACTCATTAACCACTAAGTTCCACCCTGAAAAGGAGAGTATTATATAGCACAATGCGACTATTTGCGTTTTTGCCTTTTACAAACCATGCTTTTGAAAATAAGAGAGAACTCTCATGAAAGTCTACTAACGGAGAATACATTTCAGCTTCTCCTACACTGTGTTTGAAAGATGACATCGAGATGTCACCAGGGTGCAGGGGAAATATGACAGAACAAATGATCAAAAGTTATTCTCATACAATAAGCAGCCATGAAATCTCTGAAGTGGCATTAGGTAGAAAAAGTCTGAGTTTAGTAATAATTGCTGTAGATTTTTTACTTTAAAAAAATAAACTATTTCCTTCAGGTGAAGTATATATTTGGCAAACACGTTCTGGAGAAGACAAGTGGGATGTATGGCCAACATATGACAGCAGACAAAAAAGTTACATTTAGAAGAAAAAATAGGGTCAAACCCCACGTGTAATGACAATTTTTGGCATACAACAGGAGAACATCCTGTTAGTCAAATTAAATACAATTTCAGAATATACAGCTAATGTTGGGACTTGGAACAGCAGAACAATTTGTGTTGTTCTGCCTACGTAAGCAGGCTCCCCCGGCAGATGAGTCTACGTAACAGTATACACGAAGTACAGGCTTGCAAGAGTGAACCCTGCTAAGCAGGGCCCTTCCTATCACGTTCTTCACACATTGACAGGTATTTGAAAGGTGGTATGAAGGGATCTATTTAGATTAATCCATAGACTAGAATGATGAAATATAAGAGAGGGGTGTTATTATTTTGATTGCAGTGCTACAGATGAACTAAACTGTATCGCAACCACAGTGCAAACTCATGGCAAATCCTTCTTGTATTTTTCTTGGTGAGAAAAATTCTTCCCAAATGATATTTCACCTTCAACCTGATCTCCTTCATGGATAAATTTACTCAAAGGGCAGAATTCCTGATGGCTGGAATAGTAGCATTATGAAAATCAATACTTTTTGATGAATATTGGGTCTGGAACATATTAAAGAGAGCTATAAAGTTCAGGGAAAAAAACCTTGCTTATCGTTTCAGTAGTAACCCAACTACTGCCCTTCATCTGTAATGAATTATGGAGCAATTCTCCTAAATCATCTGTATGAAGTCAGCTATGACACTGCCAATTTAAAAAAATTTGCTAGTTTTGAGCTACAAATTGATTTTTTATTGTGATAAATTAAAATCCAATAGTAGCCTACAAGATACTAGACATACAGAAGCCTACATTTTTTCAGAATATTTTTTCTCTTTTCTATGACATTGTGGCAGACGTCATAGCAGTAGCCAATGATAAAAATTAAGAAAGGACACTAGAGAGAGAAATAACCTTTCCAAATAAACAATAAATGAGCACTGTGCCCCAAAACATCCATTTGGGAATCCCCAAATTACAGAAGTACAAGTAAAGAGAAATCATTGTGGGGGACAGGGAAGGCAGTTAAAGGAGGAGAAAGCAAATGCAAGGTTATGCAGGCTGTTCTCTATTAAGAGCATTTTTTTTTCTTCATTGCATGAATGTGGATGCCAGTCTCCAAACTTTATAAATTCTTAAGTTTAACACTGATACCAGAAGATCTGCGTGAGCAAACCACAAAATTTTTCCTGCCCCTTTCCCTTCTTTCCCATCAAAAGAGGCAGGCTGAGCACTCATACATCCCCATTTCTGCCAGTTTGTGGGATTTTCTCTATTGCTTCTAAATCAAGAACGGGATTATCAGTGTCCTGCATTGCCTAATTGCATCATCCTTATTTTGCTTTACAAGGGGCTCCGCGTTATAGCAGTAATGCAGCTTTCTTTGGAGGTGACTTTAGCATACAGACATCGACTTGAGACTACACAGATGGTATTATTTACTACTACAACAGCTGACATCTCTTAGCATTACACCAGGACAAGACAAAGCCATATGGATGAGACACAGTTCATCACCCCCAAATATTTGTCTCTTGTGTTGTGGAAAGCACCTTGCCTCAGTAGTGCTCCTGCAGGCTCAGAGAGCCCAGAGACACTGTCAGGGTCTGCCCATGACCTGTTGCTGACGTTACCCACTGTATTTCGGATGTTGATATTGTATGCAACTACCAGCGCGAATGGGGATGAGATGACGGCTGTAGGCTGATAACATGGAGACAGGCTGGATGAGAGCAACTATGAGAAGAGTGGGTCAAGGACATGAAACTTTGGGACATGGAGAGACCCAAGCTGGGGAAAAAGCTGAAGGGATGGTGGCTGTGAAGGACCAGCAGAGGAGTTCATGCATCCCTGCTTCAAAAGCTTGGTATGGAAAGTATGATTCTCCTGCTTTCAAAAAAAAGATGTAAAAAGTGATGTCAAAGCTCCCCACATCCCCCTGTCACAGCACTGTTTCAAGGAGGACAACTCAATACTCCTGTCCATCACTGCAGCAGCTCAGGGGCAGATGTCTGGAAGGTGGATTTAAAGGTTTCAGTCTAAGCCTCAGTCGGTGAGTGACAGGGTTACTGTAAGGATGATACAGTTATGTCAGACATAGAGTACAGGGTGTCAAAATTATGAAATGAGGGAGACTTGTTTTCATGTTCCTGCCTCCCTAGTTGCAGATAGGAGAGCGTGCAGGATGCTGCAGGAAAGGCAATTTGGTTAAATCACACCTTTGTTTCTAAACACATCCCCTTTCCCCTCATTCTTTTATGAAAAGAAATCCTATGTTTGTGAAACATTCAGAGACAAGTGCCACAGGACAGGTCTCTCCTTTTTTTTATTTTCCCAAGAAAAGGCTTAGGAAAGTAACCGTGGCCTCGGTTCAATTTGCAGAGTGTGTGGCAAGGCAGCAGGCTGCACACTGAAGAAAACAAAATATTACCATATTGTTCAGTGTAATACACTCTGTTCTATATACTGAATGAAGGTGGTATTCTCTGGCCAGAAAGAGGTATGTCATCGCATAGTTAAAATCCTACCCTAATGTCTATTCATTAGAGGACCCAACCATGACTGCACCGGCAGCCCTAACCCTGACATTTCCTATCTTCTGCACACAGGCTGTAACCTCAGCAATGTTCTCTTGAACACTGCTTTTGTATGAATACTTTACACATGCTATACACAACACATTCCAAATGAGTTTTTCATTACTAACTACTTGTATTATGTATCAGTGAGCTCAATGACATTGATTTTCTAATAATATAAATTAACTGGCAAAGATAATTTCATCTATCATCAGTAGGGTTTTATTTCTGGCATCATGTTAAACAGTTAATCTTTCAAAAGATTAAATCAAGAGCTTTTTAAAATTCAAGGCAGAGCTTAAACTGCTGTAAAAATCTTCTTAATTAGGATTAAAACAGTTTGTGTGTTGTCACTTTATATCTAAGTAGTATAATGTTTTGCTTAGGGTTCTTCTTTCAGAGCAATTTGAAAAATCAAACATGATATTGCTGTGGCAAAAAGTGCGTAAGGCATGGAAGTCTGCTGCAGCTTCCTCAACCAGATGCTACTGGATGAGTTGCTTCTCGGCAACCTCAAACAATCACCTCGAACTTTCTTTCTTTTACCTCCAATTCCATACAATATATACTTTTTCTACCATTGATGATACAAAAGCTGTGATTCTTATGGTTACTGCATATCTGTCAGAAGACAGTCACTCCCTGTCAACAGGAGGATATCGCATTATGGTGACTACTACTGCGGTGATCTGGAATTACAGACCTGACAGAAATTCTTTAGGATTCGCCTAGGACATCTTCAGGGCAACTCCAGCTAAGTCTGTGCTGCTCCCAGGAGCTCCCCAACTCCCCATGTCCTTCCTTTTCTCCTTCTGTCTCAGGCTTGGGAAAAACAAGCTTCACTTTCCTGGGGTTGTCCGCAGCTCCCTGTTCCAGCGTGTTTTCTTCCCCTCGGCTTCCCACGCCACAAAGGGCCCAATCCAAGACAATCCTAGCCTCTAATCCTAATCTCTTGTCATCAGACTCTCAAAAGTCACTTTATACTGCCAAGGAGTCTTAAGCAGCATCCAGAAGACTGGTGCAGTTGGGCCCAGGCTGGATGAGAAAACCCATACAGGCACAGACACCAGTCTGTACCACGGACTGCTAAAGCCTTCTGCAAACAGTGGGCTGGTATTTCCAAGAAACAATTTTTTATTTGGCTAAAGGAAAACAAATCCTTTCTTGCCACTTTCTGGACTTAGAGCTGTGTGTGTCTATGCACATAGGGAGCATCTGTGTACTCAAGCAAGTGGTTCTGCAGACGTATGCAGGACAAGGCTTTACAATAAACCACGTCCCCATGCTACACTTTACACCTCAGCCATCTAATGGCTTGCTCTGATATATGACAACCATTTATCAAGCTTGTCAGATGCTTCCTGTGGGCTTACACTGGCAAGATACTACTGCCCAGCCTTTTAAAGAAACATCCATGAAAAGATTCAATGTTGTTCCATCACATGATTGTTTTACTTACCCCTGTCTTTTCATCGAAGATTTTGATTCCCCCAAAGGAGACTGTTAAGAAGATTTTTTGTTTATGTTCTCCTTTCGAACGAGCCGCAGCAACAATTCCCTATTGAAATAAAGAACAGTTTGGCTGGTTTCATTACTCCTCGAGGTTCCACAGCAGAGCACAAAGATTTGCTTGCGGACAATTCACCACTTTTCTAGAAAAACTTAAGGGCTTTCCAGGAACAGTCCCCCTCTTACTTCCAGCTTCCTCCCTTTCTTCAAGACACCTCATCTCTTTACGCTACCCAGAGAGCATTTCAAATGTACTCCCGCTTCAGACCCCTGCACCAGCTAATCCTCCATGAAATGTTTTCATGGAAGCTGAAGGTCACTTCTAGCACACTTTTCCCAGCTGTGAGCTGTTGCAGACTCTTTTTTAAAGAAAAAACAAAACAAAACAAAACAAACCCCAAGCAGTGAAGAAAAAAATGCCAACAACTTTAGCTTACTTCATGGGCATGCTTACCTGGAATAAGCAAAATCAAACTACACCTCTGCTGTAAAAACTGGTATCAAGGGTTAGTTTTTTTCATAATCTCAGGCTTTTACTTCTCAAGTGAACTTGCTGATATGCATTTCATGTATTATTCTCCTGCAGAGTAACTATAACACTAACTTCTACTTCCACCTTCTCAGGAGCCTGCCCTGATGAATGTACTAAGACCAAATGTAATCAATCACACTAATAAATAAATACAAATATTTAGCCTTTATCTGGTGCTCTGCAATGTCAACATGTTTTAACAAACACTAATTTATGTTTTAAGACCTTCATGATGTCGTTCTTCTCATTACACACACATGAAAATTCAAGAGAAAAAAATGGAGTCATTTGTCAAAAGTGACCCTAAAACTATGCCTGGCCTTAAAACTCATGTTGCTAGACACCAGATTTCCAGAGCCTGTAACTTCATGCTATGGTGCCTTACATACAAACATGAATTTCTAATGCTACCTTCCCTTAACAGTTTGAGTACTCTCACAAGACTGTTTAGATCAATCTCGCCACTACACAAACAGGTATGGGGCACCTGGGAGATGTGGAAATGGTAATCCATGGAGGAGAAACAAAAAGGCTTGTGCAGCAGAACAGTGACAAATCTCCCAAATTGCTTCGAGGTACTATGAAATGATTAGAAATATCCAGTATACAATTAAACCAGATACGAATATTGTGGCAGATGTGATAAATCAACAGTGCACCTTTAAGAACAGCTTTTGCCTGTCATAAAATGTAACTGATTTGTAAAGTATCTGCCAGATCCTTCTTTTAGATTGTTGAACCATAAGATGCACGTCACCTTTTGCTGTTTATTCATGAATAACCACCTATTCCTCCTGGTTCCTCAGGACTGGAACCCTGCTAGTTGGTAGTGTAGAAGATACTGCTTGGCGATTTCTCCTCCTGAAAAAATTACTGATGGGAAATCCATCAGGTCTCTTGGTAGGCTGCTGGGAAGAGAGGACTGGAAGGACTAAAATGGGAGAGACTGCGGAGGGTTTACTCCTAGACCTAGCTTGTAACCCTACAATACATATGGGAAGTCAACACTGCACTCAAGAAAAACACAGTCTATCCTTCCTCCTCAATCACTCCAGCTCTTCCACATTTCCCAGGACCACATAAAGGATGCTTCCTATAGAGAGCTCTTATGCTCTTTGAGGGTTGTGAGAAAAGACTGAGCCAGACAGAGATATCTAGCATGCTCCAGAAAGTTCACCCTCCTACACCACTAATGCTTTCAGACTGTCTACTCTCTAAGTTTGCAGTCTTCTCAGAACCTGTTTTTGTCACCACTCCATTTCTTTCCCAAAACTCTGGGGACTCCTCTTTATCTTCTCATGCTCTGTCCTCTCTGTGCACTTCCTCCTGATATTGTAACCCATCAATCCTGCCATTACAGGTGCAAGACATTACTCTCCCAGTGAGGACAGCAGTTCCCCCCTACCTACATCCTACAGTGTCACTCACCCCTTCTTGTCTGCCCCAACAGGAGATAATGGTCAAAGGCAGGGCTGTAGTTGATTAGCACTGTCGTATAATCTGATACACCATTTTCTTCATAGTGGCTTACCTCCCCTTCTGCATAATAAAATTATTCAATTTGCAGATGCGTTGTTTATAATTTGTGGACAAATTGCAGTGGTGTCAATCATGAATAACTACTGAACTCGGAGATAATGTATTAAAATTAAACTGGGATAAGCAATACCAGCCAGGAGTTCATGTAAAATTGACTGATTTCAATACATAATTAACCAGAGTGTGACTCAGTGTCATGAAAGGAGAATGAGTAAAAGTTCAAGCTGAAATTCACTCCTTTTGACTCGATAATATTAAACATTAAAAGTTTCACTGCACCTTGAGCTTCATCATGGAGTCTTGGCATAACTTGTCTCCTCGTGCGGCAGAAACCTCATCTATCCCAATCAGTTTTGCTTTGTATCGGACACCGTCACCTTTAAACCTCTTTATTAAAGTGGCTTCACTGCGATCCTGACCTGAAAAGACATAAGGGAAACAAGGAAATTTGCATGAGTGCAAAGGAAAATAAATGGATAAATACTTGCAATTAAGTAGCAAATTAGATCCAACTCCTACCTCAAAACCTAAACATGCGAAAATTTCAATAAAATTAGAAGAAAAGTATTAGTTCAATAAAACCTTTTGGCCTTACTACCTCAAATGAATTCACGGTGGAATTGTTGCCATACAAAATCTTCTGCGTGGAATTTGCACACAAATTAGGTTTACAGAAGTAAGAGATAAGCCTGAATCAGACCTCATGGATCTGAAAAATTCTGATCTGTACGGGTTGTTTTAATCCCAATACACTTGCGAATTCTTCATTTTGCAGACAAAACTCTAACAGAAACATGCTACTATTTCCTCGTATACTGACTTATCTAACCATATCAGCAATATTTACACTATTATCATTTGAATGATGAAAAAACAAATGATGTTATTTGCCTGTAGAATATTGCTGCTCTAAAAGCTCCATAAAAAATACTGACTCCTTGTTCTATTCTTTCCGCTTATAGACACATACAGAAAAAACATAACCATCAATGCTGGCTCTCACAGGCTCACCCTGAGCAGCTTAAAAAATCGCACAAGATGTTTCTTAATAAAAAAGCAATCAGGGATAAGATAGCACAGTACTGATAAGGCCAATGTACATAAATTTCAGACTAGCCTGAACCACACAACGATGACTCAACAGCAGCCCATGAAAACGATAGTTTTGTCGGAAGACTTTTTCCCCAGAGTATCTGCAGAAGAGTTTATTCTGTGTCTTAGCGAGGAGAATCATAGAATCGTTTAGGTTTGAAAAGACCTTTAAGATCATCAAGTCCAACCGTTTCCTCACATAAAAACAAATACCAAACCTCCAACATACCTAGAGAAGGACATCATGAGTGTCAACTTAGCTTTTTTTAGTGCTTTTCTTTAGCACAAGTACATCTTTTGTTTAAACAATCCTATCTGTTTTGGAGTACCTGGTGATAAAGTAAGCTTGCTTGCACCTCAGCGAAATATGGCCACAAATGGTTTTCTCCCAGCTACAGCGGTGTCAGTGGAAGAAGTTTCAAACCCTGCTCCTAGGGGCTTACCACAGCCTCTCCATGCAATCCACCAGCCATCCAGGAATATGTTAGTTAGGGAATCAGTCTTTCTAAAACTGATTAAAGGCCTATTTTGCAGCTGTCTGTCGAATTTCTTGCTAGGATCTCAAAAAACCAGCAGTGAACTGTAAATAATTGCAAGAAAAAAAGGAACTAAACAAACAACTTCCAAGGCACAAAGAAGCAAGCAAAAAATGTGAGGTCTTAAAAGAATTTTGAGTTTCTTGGACCCAACAGATTCTGTGAGAAAACTTGCCTAAACAGACTGATCTTGCTAGAATTTATACTATTACCACCTAGGAGCTCCTGTCACAGGTTTTGCCCCATCCTTCCAGCTACTGTAAAAAATGAACAAAAGTGCACCAACCATAGGTAAGAATCTCATATTAGACACCTATATTTGAGAACTTTCGCCCAAATTTTCTCCAAAGCTCATTCCTACTTGAAAAGTCAGATTAAAGCACAGAAAAAAATAATAAAATCCACTTCTGTGCAGCTAGTTTTTGATAAGCAGAAGTACAGAAGTTTTGGGCGAAAAAACTATTTTGTTCTGCATTTCTATTAAAAGCACCTTCTTCAGCAGCCAACACTTGGCTCAGCTTTGCTAATGGTACACACCCATCAAGTGGATGAATAAACTAGATTCAAAACTATGGAGTTGAAATTTTTACAATACCATTATAGGAAAAACTAGAGAGCACACATGACCAACATAGAGTACTTCCAAATGAAGATACGCATTTTGTTCTCCTTCCTTGAGAGTACAGCACAGGCCACACTGTGAACTAACGATGGACTAAATGTATGTTAAAAAATAGAGCTATTTTAAGCATACTGAGATCTTTGAGTGTCTTTGGGCACAGAAATACTATTTCTTTCAATGAAAAATATCAGCTCATTTATAGCCCCTTAAAAATAAGGGAGCTGACGAAGTGTTGCTGTGCTAGCTCAGTGGCCACCCAACTTTTTGCCTTGGTTTGTTTTCACTCCTGCTCCCTCAAAAAGAATTAAAGAGGGTTGAAACTTCATGGTCTTACATTACATTTTATTTTAAAAAAAAAAATCTAATGAGACACAAATGATGAATCAGAAACTTAAAGTAGTGCTAATATCATTCCGCAAGGAAATGCAAAGGCAGATGTTGGCACTATCAGCTAAAAAAACAATGAAAAACTATTTTCTACTTTCAGCTCCCAAGTGGGGCAGGAGGGAGAACATCTGGAGAAGCAACAAAGTACAACAGTAACAGTGGACTTTTCCATATGTCTTTTAGACTTGCAAAGATAACCTGTTGATTTGCAGTAAATAAAATCCAATTCCAACAGCTTTCTTGCCAACAATCATCAACCTTACGTCTTCGTTACAGCTGAAGGCAGCTGTTAGCTAATAGCATGAGCATGTAAGTGTTCAAGAGTGTTTCCTGGGTCCGAGTCATGATAGCGACCTTGCATTCATCAGTTATTTGAACATTTATACTTATTCCAACCTCTGATCTATTTTGCTGCACGTAACTAAGTCCTCGGCATTAATAGCCCATTCAAACACAACTTAGGGCTTTGTTTGCTTACGCACAAGTCCCATGTCAATTATGACCCAGATTAAGTAGGATAAAGTGCTTTTGGGATAAATGACTGGGAAAAATCATCAACCTGAAAATTATGTAGATATGTTAAACTGCGGTGGAAACTGCAAATTACTAGAGACTACAAATTCATCCGTAAAACCCTAGAGCATATGTCCCATGAAAAAGCATAGAAAATGCACACACATGCTGCCCTATATTATAAATCAGCCATCTGCAACAGTCACAATTTCTCAGCATACATCCAGATCTCCCCTGATCTATGCTCATACTGTATTTCCAAATTTTGGTACTGTAATCAGCACTGAAAAACTTTCTACCTGCTTGGAAAATTACCATATGACAAACACTGTCAGTATGGTAGATTTTATAGCAGTCGTGAGATTTATGCAGGGTGGTGATACTTCATTTGCACACTGGACACTTGGTAAGGCAGATAGTCCAGACTCTCATAAACATCTCATCATTAAAACAAAAGGGTTTTTTTAATGACAATTCTTGAACAAGATTCTTTCTGTGGTTGAAACTTCATAAATAAGAGAAGCCTGAATTATGAGGCTCTAATTCTTCTTAAGCTTTGGAGGAAGCTGAGGGCTAACATTAAACCACTAAACTGGAGAGCTGTACCTGTGCCAGAAACCTGTCCAGGAAAGCGCTGCCTCTCTCTTTGCACATAACAAGCCGAGTCAATGTTTTCTGCTTTGCAGCTCCTGCCTTTGTCAGTGGAGACCTGCTCTCGTGCTCAGCTCTCCAGCCGCCCCCTGCCACCACACTTGCCCTGTCCCAGCCTGTGGGAAGGACTGTCCTGGACACAGGGCTGCACTTACTGCTGGAGCTCAGTTTCATCTGAATAATGAGAAGCCGCATCTTGGGGCTTTCACTCTCAGCTTGCCTTCCTCAAACTACAAAATAACATCTCAAGGGCAGGAGGGGGAACATTCATAAACAAACTATGAAGATTTTATGGAAAACTGAAGCTTGAGGTCTCAAATCATTACTAGATCATAATCTACAGCAAAATTAGAAGCACATGTTTGATGACATCCGCTTCTTTCCACAACACGTATTTCCTGAGATCTCATTTTAGGATTTCTTGACCGCAAAGAAGACACAGGTGCCAAAGCCATGCCAGGCGAGCAGCTGATGCCCATCTCAGGTGTCCACCGTACCTTGCACAGGTAGGGATCTGCCCAGCATTCTTCATCAGAGGACTAGCACCACTAGATCATTCTAAAATTATGCTAAATTAAATTTTTGTATTAAAGCTTTTTAAACTTCAAGACCAATGAGTATTTTCCAATGGTTTGCTCTAAAATGTTTTCATAGATATATCTTCATAACAAAGAAATATTCTACACATTTGTTTGCAACTCAACACAAGCACTTCACAATCCAAAACGGAACCAGATTATCAACAAAACTAAAACAGATTTGGTTCTCATGCCCCAAACTGAGAAAAAATGCAAAAGCTAGAAACCCACTAACAACAACATCACACAAATTCAGTTTAGAAAGGTGATCACCTTGAATTAGAAAATGTGCTGTTGTTGACACAGCCAAATAAATGTTTTGTTTGCAGCATATAGATTTATAATCCTCAGAGGCTCTTAAAATGTAAATGTAAGAGTAATTATTTTATCTACTTCTATAGATGTCACCATTCACCTTTAAGCCATATGTGTTCCAGCTGGAGCCACTGCTTCTGCCTAAGTGGGAAAACATGATCTTTGCTGCCAAGTTGTGACATTGCACTTGGACTTCCACAGTTAAGAGGACAATAAATCCCCAGAGCTGGGTGATGCAATGCGCTTCTGAGTGTGCATCTAAAGTAGAGAGGTTTATTATCATGATCAAAGTTAAGGTATTTTATCCATCTGACTAAATATACTGTAAAAGTAATAAACAAGGTTTTTAACAGAGTCAATCATTTTTATTTGAGGCAATAAACCTTAATTAAACTCAGATTCTTTAAAGCAAGCTAGAGACAGACCTTAACCCAAAACCCCAAGGACTCCTCACACTCTTCCCCTGCTCCAGCAGGGGTGCCTCCCATGGCAGACAAGTCCTTCATGAACATCTCCAGTGTGGGTCCCTTCCATGGGGTGCAGTCCTTCAGGAGCAGACTGCTCCAGTGTGGGTCCCCCACGGGGTCACCAGCCTGGCCAGCAAACCTGCTCCAGCATGGGCTCCTCTCTTCATGGGGCCACAGGTCCTGCCAGGAGCCTGCTCCAGGGTGGGCTTCCCACAGGGTCACAGCCTCCTTCAGGCACATCCACCTGCTCCAGCGTGG